GGGTCCAAATAAGCCAGTTTTTCAACTCAAGGACTTTTTGTCTTATTCTGATTCTGCTTAGGCCTTATTCCTGGCCTCTTTTAGGGCTCTTCTAAATGAAGGGCAGCTCCCGCTGCCTTCTTCATGCTTGTTGTCCGTTGTTGGGCCAAGGAAGCACCGTGCTGGGCCTGGACACTCTTTCTTCCGGTGGTTTGAGCTTCCACACCGGAAGCACAGCTTGGATCTGTTTTCGTTCTCACAGTTGCCCGAGACGTGTCCATATCCCAGGCATTTGTAACATCTTGTTACTTCAATTCTTCTTCGAATTTGGCAGCTTACAAAGCCAACTCGTAACCTGCCTTCCTTTTCTACTTGTCTGGCAGATGCTTCGTCCACTTTTATTAAAGCCAGCCTCTGTCCTCTGAAATTTAGCTTTAAGAGAGCAACTTCTTGCTCCTGGCTTTGATGTCCAAAAGTCCTAGCAGAAGCATCTTTAACCTCATCTTCCTCTACAATAGCATCCAGGTCTCGGACCTCTAATGTCACTTTTCTGTCACTCATTTTGACAGTACCCTTTCCGGCTAGCGACTTATCAATTTGCTGTGAGGATGCAGTAGCATTCTCTACACCTTCGGCTTGAATAAATATGTCTCTTTTTTTTGTAGTGACAACACTTTAGACTGCCACTCTAGCCTTATCGAAATCAAAGTTTGCCTTCATAGTCTTCAGAACCATTGCAAAGGTCTGTCCTTCAGCCATCTTTACTACTACTGTTGTTGTGACATCCACTTTTTTCTTCCGGCTTGTTTTGTCATTCAGTGGAACTTCTTCTTGTTTGCCACTGCCTGTTTTCTTTTTCTTTGAAGACACAGCCTGCTGGCGTTTCTCAGGGCTGTCCGTAGGGCTCCTGTTTCTCTTACTTCGTTCTATTTCCTTCAAGGCAGTGTTCAGGGTTCGTTTCTGTACATGCCGTCGGAAATTATCTCGCCTTTTTTCCCTCCACTGCAGGGATTCAAATGACGACTTCCAAGCGTT